AGTGTGAAGCTGCTCGTTATGCCCCGAGCCTATGGTGAAGGTCAGGACAGAAGGACGGTAAGTTAACGTTCGGCGACGGAGAGAATATTAGAAGGCTCCGTCTGTGAACAGTTGAGCTAACTTACCTCAGAGATAAGCGAACACCGAAGCGAGAAGAGGTGATTGAATAGTGCGTACGTTGGGACGCTTGCTACTTATAGTAGCAGGGGGACGCGTACGTCACGGTCACTGGCCAGTCAGGATTGGCGTATTGAGATAAGTGCTACTGAGGAATCCGCGGAGGGGCGTATCCCATAGTGAGACATCGAAACGAATGTTAAGAAAGAGAACTGTACGAACCAAACTGGACCCAAGATGGATCCTTGAGGAACTCCAGAACTAAACGCAACTCTTTGGTTGACCTCATTTTGAAGAAAGTAGATTAGTTCTGACTGTTCTGGTGAGCTAACAGCTAGTTCAAACTTTACTGCTGCTGTGTATGAGAAAAAAAACTTTAATATTTTTATTAGCATTTCAGGCTAACAGTTTTTATTCACTAATAACACTGTGGCAGCTCGCAGTGGATAATAGTGTCACGCATCTGGTCTTATTGTCAGATTTCTGACAGAATACCTAAAGAAAACAACATTCATGATATCATGGCATCAATGTTTGTACGATGAAATTTACATGAGAAGGTTTAAATTTCGCAAATGAATAAATACATTTCAAGGAAAAGTGAGCGAAAGTGGATTGCCAGAATAATCAAAAATTTTTTTATTTTTTATTTAAGCTGAAGAAATATTTCACTCAACAGATAAAGCAAAGATTGGAGTTAAGATTTGGTTTATTCTAGGTCAAATCCCATAGAAATAATCAGGTTTACCATTTGTGGCCTAATTAGAGCAAAACAGAAAAGGGGCGGAGCCTGTTGTGGTCGACTTAATGTCTCCTCCTCAGTGTTTCCTTTAAAGTTATGTTTTTAAAAGGCCTCTCGCCATAAAGACTGACCGTGATGCCACACCACAGTTAAGTTACTCGTTTACGCTCTGTTTCCTGACCCGGCAGATCCTCTTCCCTACATTCTCACACATCGATTCAATGAGTCTGAAATGTTACTCCTGAAATCGGAGCAGACTTTCTTGTTTTGGTTACAATGGCAGAAGGACTCTTGAGTCTATGTTCTGCTTTTGTCCTTCGGGAGCTTGGGTGTGACATTTCAGAGCATATACGTCTACTGTCTGCTTTCACCCTTCTTTTGCCCGATCCGATAAACAAACCCAGAACTTTACCAGTTCATCCTAAATGTCTCATGATCGTGAGAAGAGGTAAAAGTGTTTGACCTCTTCAAAGAGCCTCACTTTCCTGGCAGTTGCACTAAACTCTAATGCAGCTCAGACCTACGTCAGAAGGAATCTTGGATGTTTTTTTTTTTTTATTATTATAAAATTTCCTGTGGTGGCTTAATAAATCTTTGGTTTGTAGATAAGTCTCCGTCCTTGCTTTCATTACTTTGGTTTGGAATCATCTTTTGAATATTTGGTTGTGGGATTTTTCCTGAATGCTTCGAGGACACAAAAGTACACAATCTACTTTTCCACAATAGCCAGAGAGAAAAGAATGTAGGTTTGATTTAGGACTGCAGTTCATTACTGGCTTCCTGCACAGTATGGAAAAATCCAAGCTGGACCAGAGAGCGCTCCACGCACAGAGCCGCCCCGACATGACAACCGACATTGTCGGCTTTGCTTTGTAAATCTGCTAAATCCAGGCATGTGGGGTTGGGAGTTGTTTGAAAGAAAATATGGGAAATAAATATCACGGCAGACTCAAATGTGTTCACGCATCAGAAACAGAACGTGATGAGTCCTGGCAGGAACACCGCCCTTTTAGTCCAAGCACGGGTTTGTTTCCTGTGCTGTTTTTAATTTATTTATTTTCAATCTTCATATTTTCATCGTCTTGAGTTTGTTTTGGAAAAAAACATGTTTTGAGTTGCGTTAGACACTTGAACGATGTTAGCCACATGTCCTTCCAGAGTATTACAGTCACGAGACCCCAACACAATAACAGTGAACTTGCCTTCTTCACAAGAACTGGACATGGCTTGGATTCTGATTTAAAACCGAATGGAGTCAAATTTACCCTGGAGCAAAACAGTTCATAAATATGCTACTAGATTAAACACATTGGTTTCCTTTCAGGTATTTTTCCTAAAGATGTAGTTGGTCAGTGTAGCGCCTTGGTGGCATCTTTTTGCCTGTAAGGTGCGATTTACAAATAAAGTTGAGTTGAAAGTTGAGTTGGTCCTTGATACCACGCTGAGTCGTTTTGCAGAGGCCTCCGTCCATTTTCCAACATCGGGTCACCTCGGCAGCAGGTCCAGGAGGAAAGCCTAGACCTTCCTCTTCCCAGTGACACTTCCTCTGCGGAATCCCCTGGTACCAGAAGCTAAGAAGCCTCTCAAGTCAGTTCTGGGTCCTCCTGACTGTCTCCTTCCTGGAAAAGCTTCAAAGGGAGACAACCAAAGCATCCTAATCAGAAGCCAGAGCCACCTCAGTTGACTTCTTTTGATTAGGAGAAGCAGCTCTAATTTTAACTCCCACCCTTTTACCAAGCTCCTAATCTTATCTCTAAGGCTGAGCCAAGCAGCCCTGAGTAGGAAGCTCATTTCAGCCATTTGCAGAATCTGACTTTCTTGGTGACAATCCACATCTCGTGGTCATAGATGAGGATTGAAACATCAGAAAGTGTCAGCCACTTCTACTTCATCATAGACCAAAGCATCCATCGGTTCTTCTCCGGCTTCATTCTACTTACCTTCTCAGTGGTATGAGTGTCCACCTTCGGACTGTGAGATCAGACTTCAAATCCGGTCGAATCATACCAAAGTCTTTAGAAATTGGACCCAATGCTTCCCTGCTTACGTAGATCGATCGATCTATGTTCCTACCCTCACCTATGGTCACGAGCTTTGGGTAGTGACCGAAAGAACGAGATTGCGGATGCACGTGGCTGAAATGAGTTTTCTCAACAGGGTGGCTGGGGCCCTTAGAGACAGGGTGAGAAGCTCGGTCATTCGGGAGGGGCTCGGAGTAGACCTGCCGCTCCTCCACGTCGAGAGGAGCCAGTTGAGGTGGCTCAGGCATCTGATTAGGATGCCACCCTGGTGAGGTTTTCCGGGCACTGGGAGAAGACCCAAGGGAAGACCCAGGACACGCTGGAGGGACTTGTTTCTCGGCTGGCTAGGGAGTGCCTTGGGATTCCCCCGGAAGAGCTAGCCCAGGTAGCTGGGGAGAGAAAAGTGCTCTTCCCCCAAGCGGCCAAAAATAGATGGATGGAGGCCTCCCTGCATGACACTCAAATTTAAGGGGTTGGATTAGGGGTTAAAACACCAATAGTTCCTGAGTGCAGCTGCAGCTCACCGCTCTCCACGGGGATGGGTCATATGAGGAAATGTCATTTCTCCAATGTGTGATGATGACTAATGGGACTTTCCCTCTGTCACTCAAAAACAAGGCGCCAAGATACATGAACCCCTCCACTTGAGGCAAAGACGTTTCCCAACCCTCGAGGGACCATCCAACCTTTTTCAAATTAAGAGTCAAACCATCAGATTTAGAGTAACAGACCATAATACAACTTCTTCAAACTCGGCTGTAAATCATCTCAGTGCACACTACAGGTCATGGTTTGCAGATGCTACCAAAAGTACGTCATCTGCAACAAGCAAATACGAAATCCTGAGCGGTAAACACCAGAAACGCTCCTCTTCATGACTACGCCTTGAAATCCTGTCCAGGTACTTCACAAGATCAAGGACAAGGGCAGCTCTGTTGGAAGCCAAGTACCTAGACAGGATCACAGTCTAGGGAGACAGTTTATCTATACAGATAGGGCTGGGACGATAATCAATAAATCACGGTTAAATCGAGGTTAAGAAATGTACAACTCTGTTATTTATTATTAGGGATGAGCCGGATACGTATTTCAGATGAGTATCCGGTACGGATAAAGCATTTTTGACAAATACGAGCATGAAATGAGTTAAACTCGTAAATATCTGTAATTGTGCTAAAGGAAAATCCTCATTGGGTAACTGACTGTCTTCACGCCCTGTGATTGGCCAGTCACATAGAGCGCCCGCCCCTCCCTACACACAAAACTGCAGCCGGGAGCTCAGTCCGTCTGGCTCATCCGCGCACACACACACACAGACAGTAACGGATCTCTCTGTGCTTGCTTCACTGTTACTCACGTTTCTTCAGAACTCCCTAGGTTTTCTTCAGCTCGTCTCTTTTTCGGTTGAATATTTAAAGTTAATTTTTTCGTAATTTACGTGGTGCATTTGTCAAGACAGAACTGACGTGCTGCGTCAGTCACTGCCTCCGCTCCGGTCAGGTTTTTTTTTAACTCTCTCTCTCTCTCCCTCTCTGTCTCTCTCACACACACACACACACACCTTAATCAACATTGTTTTGTTTAACATTTTGTGGGGTAAAATGCCAAGAACGTTAAGAAAATATCTGTTTCATCAAATTAAAATAAAATAAATGTATAAAGTTGTGTCTGGTTCTAGCATTTCATATTTCCTAGTTCCTACTCCTTGAGTTCAGATGTATTAATTCATGCACTTAAATAATAATGTTCTGATTTTATTGAGAAGCTTGTTCTGTAATAGTTCCTTTGTGATCAAAAATATTCTATAATAATATTCTATAATGGCTAGTCTGAGCCGCTCAGCAATTTGGTGCTGACTTAAAAAAAAGCTTCAATCTGAAAATTCGAAGCTGTCCTGTTAGCTCGTTAGTCCTGTAACCTCTGTTTCCCTAAATTGAGGCTCTTTGGGAAACTCTGGAAACAGGGTTGCACAGAAACACACTTCAAACAGTATAAAATCTTTTGAAAACATGTTTTTAGAATAATATTTCACCCTCACTAAAACAAATAAATCACGGGGGTTTGGGGAATATTTGGAATTTTTGGGCGGAAAATCTAGTATTTCTGTTTTGTTTTCTCAGGAGTCGTTCGTGAGATGGCCCACAAATCAGACAGCAAGCTGCAGTCCATCTCCACCACCCGGCTCTCCTCCCAGCACCACCTCTGGTACGAAGCGTCCAAGCGCCCGCTGCGATTGAACTCTGATTTTATTCACGCCGACGCCAGGCGCTGTGGTCTGAAGAGCTTCGCACACATTTATGCGTGGTTGGGTCACGTAGGTTAAAGAGAAGTTCCGACGCGGCACATTTCTGACACATCTTTAGTTAATTACAATCAGTCTCTTTTAAGTCTTCATTTAGTAAAACAGCCTCACTAAATTAGCTGGTGAACCACATGTTAATTGGTAGCATGTGTCGCACTGCATTTGTCTTTTTGTGTAGTTTGTCACCACAAGTCCTCGTTTTACCCCTTTTCATTAGTTTTTTCCTCGTAACTGCTGAAATTTGCCTTTTCTTTGCTTTTGAAAAGAACTTCTGTCCGATGGAAACATTCTCATGTGCAAACAGCATGTTTTATTTCCTCTGATGAATCGTGTGTTTGCAGTGCTCCCAAAGGAAAGATGTTCGATTCCCTTCAGTTCTGCTGCTCTGACAGTCTTTCCCAGCCTTTATCCATCTACAAATGCCTCAGATTTCTCAGTTTCTCATCTGGCCTCCTCAATTCAACAATCAAACAAATCAAAGCAAAGCGGCTCCTTCGTGTGTTGTGAGGCAGCTAATCGCACACTCATAACACACTCCCAATGTTTGCGCAACACGAGTCCTGTCAGACGTCATTATGTCAGTTATCCCCTTCTTCGCTTTGCAGTTACTGTGAAGTTCATCCCACCATGCTGAAGTGCTTCCATCTGACGCAGCACCACCTGACAGCTGCAGTTTAGGTGCAATTGGATCCTTTTGCTTATTTATGATACGCTAACTCTCTGTTTGATCTCTCAGGCCTCTCGTGTGTGAAGACATCCAGGCAGATGTGGAGGACGGACAGCTGCAGTTCTTCTACCTTCTGGCTTTTGTCCTGCAAGGTAAGAGCATCTGTCTCTGTTATCAGCAGAAACATCTGCTTTTTTTTCAATCTAAGCCTCATTTGCTAGATTTGCTTTGATAGTGATAAGATTTCAGGACTCATGTCAGGTGCAGCGACGTGCATGGCTTGACTAGAGGCTTTTGTTTCTGTGTGTCGTGACTTCAGTAGATGCTTTCAAGTATGGCATTCGGGAAATTGGTATGTTTTTTTTACCATAATTTCCTAAATTTTAGCGATTCACCAGGAGCTTCAAGCAGAGATCTGATTTATTAGAATATTCCAAATTTATGGGATTTTTTAAATTGACAAAAGTAACATTTTTATATTTTTTAGAACTATTTTAGCTCATTTTTAGTACTCTGGAAACTAAAATAAAAGGGAAATGAGGGAAAATTGTTTGACACTCAAACTTGAAAGATATTCAGTTGCAATCACACAGAATTGGTACAAAAAAACTTATTTTTTAAGGTGTGTCATACACAGGCAGGTGATGTAAGGCATATGATGCAGTTGCAAATAAATCAAGCAGATTTTCTAAGGAATTTCATTTCTAAGGTTTTTGTTATCTCCCACTTTGGGGGGCTTGTCCGGGATCCGGAAGCTTCCTTTGGAAAACCAGTCCATTTGATGCCATTTCAAAATATATGATTTTTCTAAGCTGCTGTCTAGTTCTCTGTAATCTAAAATAATCCAGCAAACAAGGAAAAATGTTTTTAACATAATTAATTCCTCTGTTTAGACTGCCTTTTTTTTTTTTTACATAATCATTATCTCACTGAGCCGCAACTTCCCATATTTACGAAACATGCTGTCAATTTACCGCAACGTTGTGGCAGCATCAGGGAGACTTGGGTTGTTTATAAGTGGTAGACTGTGGCAATAATGTGACGCATTTGTGTCCTTTTTACAAAAGATTAGTGATTGCAGCATAAAGAGGGTATGGGGGCGGTCTCTGCACTGCCATGGACTTCTGTTTATCTTGGACATAACCTGCTTTTTATTGAGATAGAAGCCGTACTTGTTAAGGGTTTTTAACGAGCCACTCCTAAAGGTGTCTGTCCCCTATAGTCCCCGTGAACAGCCAGGTGATCTGAGCTTCAGCACCACCTGAGAGCAGCTCCAGGAGTTGCATTGCTCCAGTTTGCCATCTCAGTCGATTTTGTTCAAAAAGCTAAACTTACGGCCCGTGTTTATATTTATTTTCAAATAAGTTGCCGGCTGGAGCTCAGCATTAACCCCCTATGTCATCTTGACACTTCTCTGTGTTGCGCCAAGGCGCAATTGTCGTTCATAAGACAGACAATTATCGCAATATTACAACCAAGCGAGGCGGAACGAATGCCACAAAATTTGTGCATCACCATATCGGCATGGCACGTTTATAAAACACACTATTGAGGTAATATTACACAGATTTTCTGGCGCAGTGCGTCCTGTATAAAGGGCTAAAATTGTGAAAAGCGAGTATTCTTACCTGGCCCTTTCTACTGTGGCATATAACGTCATTGAAGCATTTTACACGCATATTCAGTGGCGCATACCTTCCTACCAGAGTGTTTCATACACAAAACTGCTGGAAATGCATTCTACATATCTCATCCCTAGAGGTCACAAAATCACCACACGAGATTTCAGCAGTTCACGCAATAAGAAGCAAGAAGAAAGAGTGCAGCATGTATCCCAAAAGGTCTCTGGTTTATTTTCTGTTCTGTTAAGCTCAGCTATGGAGATAATGAGGTTTTTTTCTTTGGTGGCAATTTATGTCTGACTTTGGGGGCTCGTCCGGGATCTGGAAACTGCCTTGCTGCGCACAGTTAGCTGCCAGACTAAATAAATGTATTATTTAGTTTGGCAATGCTCCATTGACGGCTCTCGGTTGTGGGGCGGGTTCTACTGTTGTCTTTCAAATGATCTCCACATGGTACTGGACAGTGAATGTGACATACTCACCGCAACAGCTATCGGTAAATGAGGCGGTCCGCAGTTGAAGGAGAAAACGCATCTTTTTTTTCTAAAGAAAAAACTTCAATACATCTATCTGCTCCTGATTCTAATGAAGCCCAAGTTCTAATAGTCCAAAACTGATGTAAAAGCCATTTCAAATGAGCTGTCGCCATCTTGTTTCACTCTGTTGCATCATCCCACCCACCAGTTATATAGAGTGCCCTGATTGGCCCACAAAGCAGATAAAGCTCTGTGATTTGTTCACTAAGCAGATAGAGCACTATGATTGGCCCACCATTATGGACCATTCACAGCTCTTTGTGTTTGAAACCCCACTAGAGAGCTGTGATTGGCCAGCCAGAAGGCTGTTATGGGCTGCAGAGATTCCAGTGGAGCGTTCCTAGACCAAACTTTGCAAAGCAAGAATTTGGTCTAGTTCACTAGGCTAGCCAGCAGTAGATGATGTAGAGGAAAGTTGAGGTCAGGAAATCTAAGACACCTTATCAACTGCAGCCTACAAATCTCTCAGAACATTTGTAACATTGTGAAAACTAAAAGCCTCCCCAAAAACATGAAAATCTTTAGGACTGCTTCAAATGTTGTCAGTATTCAACCTTAAACGTTGTTGCTACTTTGTCCCTTTTATTATTTTTGCTTTGCCAAAAAGCTTTGTAGAATTACCGCTGTTGCTGATATTGAGTGTTTTATGGTAATTTATCTTCCATGTAGAAGACAACAAGTATAAAATCAAGTCCCAGTCAGGACACCGACATAAAAATATAATGGAATTCCTGGTAAGCAAAAGAGGCAAATGCTTAAGAGGATCATTTTAAAATTATAGAAGAGAAGTACAAGAAAGAAAATGTGGAAAACAGAAGGTGATTTGTGGCCAGCCGCTGACGTGGGGCGCCTGTCAACAAGCCACGTTAACTTCTGCCAGTAAATGAGGCAGAAATATACAGTTTCTTCTCGGAAGCTTTGACAGATGACTGTATTTGCATGCATGTGGTCAGGGCACAATGTATCGGGGCTGCAGCAGAAATATTTAAGGTAACCTGAGGCTGCACACAGCTGAGCACGTCACTGGAGTTTGACAACATGCTTGGATCTGTGTTTTTCCTAAATGTGAAGCGTTCTACTCAGACTCAGTAACTGAGTGAGGCTTTTTGCATCAGCGATGCATAACTTCTGACAACAAAACCAGCCAAACTCGATATAAGAAGTGTACACTTTGTGATTCTTTAAGATCCAAACCTTGACTGGTGAGCTTTAATTAAGTGAAATATACTTCTATTTTTCACTCTGGCAGATGTTTACCTTGGAATAAGATGAAACTGTGAGGTAAGCAAGAGATGCTTTTATAGTGTTTGCCTGAATTATTCAGCAAGGCTAAGTGCTTTAAAAGACTTTGTAGAATTATTTAATATTGATAGTTTTTCATGCAAAATAAGACATGCTTGAAGGTTCTGGTTTGGTGTGGTAGGTTTTTTTCCCTTTTCACACCATTCTTTGTAAACTCTAGAAATGGTTGTGGGTGAAAATCCCAGTAACTGAGCAGATTGTGAAATACTCAGGCCGGCCCGTCTGGCACCAACAACCATGCCACACCCAAAATAGCTTAAATGACCTTTCTTTCCCGTTCTGACATTCAGTCTGGAGATCAGGAGATGGTCTTGACCAGGACCACACCCCTAAATGCATTGAAGCAACTGAATGGTTGATTAGATAATTGCATTAGGGAGAAGTTTAACAGTTGTTCCTAATAATCCTTTAGGTGAGTGTATATAGGCAAGGCAGCTTTATTTATAGAGCACATTTCAAACTCTGAGGTAATTCAGTGTGCTTTACAATTATCAGGACATGATATGAAAACAACATAAAAACACACATTTAAATACACACAGTTTAGAGCTAAAGGAGAAGACTAAGTTACAGCGCAGATTACAGTAGAGATGACACCTCATGAGAAACAAGTAATTCAAATGCTGATGAGTACATTAGGGTTTTAGTTGTGTTTTAAACAACACTAGGGTTGGGGCACATCTGAGGTCATGGGGGAGCTGATTCCATATGTGAGCAGCATCGTAACTAAAAGCATCTCCACCATGTTTGGTTCTGACCAGAGGTTCTACCAGCTGATTGTTTCCAAGGGATCTCAGAGCCCTGTTGGGTGTATATACAGGAATGAGATGTGACATGTACAGTGGGGCAAAAAAGTATTTAGTCAGCCACCGATTGTGCAAGTTCTCCCACTTAAAATGATGACAGAGGTCAGTAATTTTCATCATAGTTACACTTCAACTGTGAGAGACAGAATGTGAAAAAAAATCCATGAATTCACATGGCAGGATTTTTAAAGAATTTATTTGTAAATCAGGGTGGAAAATAAGTATTTGGTCAATAACAAAAATTCAACTCAATACTTTGTAACATAACCTTTGTTGGCAATAACAGAGGTCAAACGATTACTATAGGTCTTTACCAGGTTTACACACACAGTAGCTGGTATTTTGGCCCATTCCTCCATGCAGATCTTCTCGAGAGCAGTGATGTTTTGGGGCTGTCGCCGAGCAACACGGACTTTCAACTCCCTCCACAGATTTTCTATGGGGTTGAGGTCTGGAGACTGGCTAGGCCACTCCAGGACTTTCAAATGCTTCTTACGGAGCCACTACTTTGTTGCCCGGGCGGTGTGTTTGGGATCATTGTCGTGTTGGAAGACCCAGCCACGTTTCATCTTCAAAGCTCTCACTGATGGAAGGAGGTTTTGGCTCAGAATCTCATGATACATGGCCCCGTTCATTCTGTCCTTAACACGGATCAGTCGTCCTGTCCCCTTAGCAGAAAAACAGCCCCAAAGCATGATGTTCCCACCCCCATGCTTCACAGTAGGTATGGTGTTCTTGGGATGCAACTCAGTATTCTTTTTCCTCCAAACACGACGAGTTGAGTTTATACCAAAAAGTTCTACTTTGGTTTCATCTGACCACATGACATTCTCCCAATCCTCTGCTGTATCATCCATGTGCTCTCTGGCAAACTTCAGACGGGCCTGGACATGCACTAGCTTCAGCAGCGGAACACGTCTGGCACTGCAGGATTTGATTCCCTGCCGTTGTAGTGTGTTACTGATGGTGACCTTTGTTACTGTGGTCCCAGCTCTCTGCAGGTCATTCACCAGGTCCCCCCATGTGGTTCTGGGATTCTTGCTCACCGTTCTCATGATCATTTTGACCCCACGGGATGAGATCTTGAGTGGAGCCCCAGATCGAGGGACATTATCAGTGGTCTTGTATTTCTTCCATTTTCTGATAATTGCTCCCACAGTTGATTTTTTCACACCAAGCTGATTGCCTATTGTAGATTCAATCTTCCCCATCTGGTGCAGGTCTACAATTCTTTTCCTGGTGTCCTTCGAAAGCTCTTTGGTCTTGGCCATAGTGGAGTTTGGAGTCTGACTGTTTGAGGCTGTGGACAGGTGTCTTTTATACAGATAATGAGTTCAAACAGGTGCCATTAAAACAGGTAACGAGTGGAGAACAGAAAAGCTTCTTAAAGAAGACGTTACAGGTCTGTGCGAGCCAGAGACTTTCCTTGTTTGAAGTGACCCAATACTTATTTTCCACCCTGATTTACAAATAAATTCTTTAAAAATCCTGCCATGTGAATTCATGGATTTTTTTTCACATTCTGTCTCTCACAGTTGAAGTGTACCTATGTTGTGTACCTATGATGAAAATTACTGACCTCTGTCATCATTTTAAGTGGGAGAACTTGCACAATCGGTGGCTGACTAAATACTTTTTTGCCCCACTGTATTTTGGTCCCATGCCATTGAGTGGTTTATAAACTAGTAGGAGCACTTTGAAATCTATTCTGTAGTTTACTGGTAACCAGTGAGTGTATGTGTGTGTGTATATATATATATATATATATATATATATATATATATATATATATATATATATATATACAGTAAATGTATAGATTTTATATAATGATTTGAAATTCTAAATATCTTTATTATTCCAAAAGTGAAATGAAATATTCAACATATTTTAACTGAAAGTTTATATTTATTTTGCTTTCAGACATTTGGGTGCCTCTGACTGTTCTGGCCACCAGAGAAACCCTCTACCTGCTCGAGGAAGACCACCAGTGGAGGAGGACCGTCTCCACAGCGACGGAGAAGGAAGCGTGCAGCGGGAGCTTCACCATTTTTGAAACGCTACCCATCAGCTGTGTGAGCTCGATTCTGCTGTGGCCCGTGGACCAGTGCAGGATGGACTTTAAGCTTTATGACGAGGTCAGTACATTTTAGTGAAGCATCTTTTCATGCAGCTGCTGCCTTATACCAAACAAAACAGGCTGAGCTGCCTCTCAGAAACTTCCTTCCACTTCAGTAGGAAGACATAATGAAGGCCAAGGTCGCCTGGGGGTCATTGCAGCATCCTTACTCCAACTCCACACAGGCGACCTGAAAACGGGTTCCCAATCCTGCCTGAGAGCCAAACCTGCAACAATCACAGGTATCGGCTTTTTATGTTTCTGCCTCTCATTTGTCGTTTTCTCATGTTGTCCCTCAGACGGTGAAACAGGAGAAGACGTGGTGTGTGCGCTCTGAGAGCTCTGAACTCCTCCAGGGTCTGCTGGCCTGGGTCAGGAGTCAGTGGGAGGCCATGTTCGGAGTGAAGCTGCACACAAGTCTGCAGGAAAAAGCAACATAATGAGAAAAGTTCAGCGAACCCGAGCGCCTTTGTTCTCCCTCTCTCTCCATTCTGAACTCAGTCTGGTCCCATTACGCTTGTTGCTTTAAGCCAAGAGCTTGGAAATGATTGCACTCATTCATGTGGCACACAAACCCATAAAAGCTCCTCTTGCATAAATTTTCCTCCAAAAAAAAAAAACATCCCCACTGAACGTTTCTCCAGCTGGAAATGGATTGTGCCTTGTTTAGTCGTGTAGATGTTCAAACGTACCTTAATGCGTTGTTTGGTTTCTTTAATCACCTGAAGGAATCTGGAGCATGAAGAGTCGGGGGTGAGAGTCATGCGCTGAGGTTCTCCAGTGAAGTGATGGAACCTAAACATCAGCAGCAGCGGCTTCTGTTTGTTCCTGGAAGTGATTGAAACGGTCACAGCTGTTTGTGTTCTCACTGAGGTGTACAACTCTAACTTATGTGTTTGTTGTTTTCTTAACGAATCAGTGCTCTTTTATTTTTATAGAAATGTGTCATCATTGATTATAAAACTTGAGTTGATTCATGTGTCCTCATTAATCTTGATTCTGAACGGTTTTTCTCGCCTTGTGAATGCTGTTGGCTGTCTAGAGGAACACCTCTCACACCTGACTATGTGTCTCATCAGGATAATTAATGAGAATTTTACACAAGTCCAAATGGAAAACCTCCATAAAAAGCTCTCCTCAGCTGCTCTTTTACCCATTTCCACTTTTCCCCATTCCGTCCATATGCTGTGCACATGTTCCCTGCAGATCTGGATCACCTTTGGTTGGAGCCACGTGGCCGAGCACCCCCACCTTCCCTTTTTTATATACAAACCAGTAAAGAGCAGCGTGTTTACACACACGCAAATGACTGGTGACTACTTACCCGCATCCTCATGCAGCCTGGTTTGCTTTCAATCTGATTCACACAATTAAGAACGGCTCATTTTCTGGTTGATTTTATTTCTTGCCTCTCTAAAACGAGACTAAAGGTCAAACATCAGTACCTATGGGGTGCTGATTAAAGTCATGCATTGAGAAATTTACAGATTCTTCTTTTCCAACATTAAGATTTAAATAATTTTGTTGAAGATTAACAACAACCAAAAATATTTAAAACCAGTTATAAATTAAATCTAAAATTTTGTAATAAATTCAAAGTATGAAAAAATTTCTAAACATTTCAAACTCAATATTGATGAATCCAATGTAACTACATAATTGGGGGTTATGACCTTGGAAAACAGCAGGCGTGAGCAGAAGCGCTAGTCAAAAATTCTTGCCTGATGTGGAGAGAAGAGCAACGAACAGCGCACAAATTTCATGAGCGATTCGCTTCGCAGCTAGTGGGATCCAGGTGTCACTCTGTGTCATTTATTAATATCCCAGTTAACTTGTTCTTTACCAAGTTACGTTTAATAAAAAATTTTCAGAATAATTGAAATTTTTGAGTTCTATGTGCTCAAAAAATAAGTAGAAGTTGAGCTAACTCAACATGTTCGAGTTCTAAGAACATTTTAAATATTGGCTTACATAATTTGGGTTTACAGTGTAGACAAATTAATCATATTATCAAAGGACCTATGAGATGTTAAGGGATTTTTATAGCACTTTTATTTTGGTAAGGTACTTTCAATTCTCAGTAGGGGTGGGCAATATAAACGATATAAGGTAGAAATTGGGTAATGATAAGAGTTTTTGGCTATATCGCAATGCCGCGATAACACATGACGTCACTAAGATGTGCACCCTGCTGACATTGGGACAGCAGAATGGCAGTGCCTGCAAGCATGGAGTGGGCAGAGGAGGAGGCCTATATGCCTCAAGTGGCACATATGAGGATGAGGATATTTAAAAGCATGTCATTTTGACATATATAAACTGGAAAAAAATATCACAATATTTATTGTTACCGCACATGCTTCAGATTATATCGCAATATAGATTTTAGGCCATATTGCCGAGCCGTAATTCTCGGCTATCTGAATTTTCATTTTGGCTAATTATTTAGCTTTAAACTGCCACATTTACTGTCGCTTATCTTAAGATCTAATTTTACATGCTTAGATTGTTTTTTTTTTCTTTTACCATTTTCAGTTTTTAATGTAGCCGTTTAAAGTGAGTGCCCATAGGAAGCTGTGGTTAAAATTTCTTTGAATGCTGACTCAGCTAATTTGTCTTTTCTAGGAAAATGTATGTAGTTTTCCAATTGAATTTAAATTTCAAATCTACAAAATAAGACCAGCCTACACGGAAGGAATGCAATGGCACATAAAACAATACTGTACGTCATTAATTGTACTTTATAGCTCTGATTTCTGGCAGCATTTTTACCATCTTTCTCCAAGTGTTTCTCTTCTATTTTCAGTTTTTTTTTCTGAAATCTGTGCCTGAACCTGTGCGTCATTCTTCCAGGACTAAATTGTGAGGTGAAGAAATGCTGAATCTTTGTTGTTGTTGTTTTTGGCTGATGCCATGGTGAAATTAATGATCCTAAAAACTCAGCGTTGAAGAATCCATGAGTCATTATTGTGTGCTCTGATTTTATGCTGCAAACTGTTTCTTTTTATGTTTTTAGGAGGAAGTGAGCAATCTGGTCTCGATGCTGAAAACATAACCGCAACATGTGTGTTTGCAGGGAGGAGAAGCTGCTGGCTGCACGGGTGGGCGGAAAGCAAAAGTGCTATATATCAGTGACTCCTGCCTCTTAATGAAGCAGTTAATAATCCCTCTGCAGGGGTGGAAGGAGGAATTTTGAGCCTCTGAGCCATGGTGACTCCTCCCACCATGTTATGTTCCTACTATTGTTCTGTGTTCCTTTGGGCTCAGATTGTCTCAGATTTTTACTTCTGGATTCAAGATGACCGCCACCGCTAAGTAACATTAGCAAGCACCAATAGTCCTGTAACTACCCGGTTGATGAGCTAAACTCAAAACTCGACCAAAATGGGTCCAATAGGAGTCCCATTGGTTTGTAAAAATTATAAATGATAAATGACCCACACCTGTTTAGCGCCTCTCAGAGTAAGGAATCCCAAGTGCTTTACACTACAGTGTATCAGTCATCCATTCACACACATTCACACACTGGTGGTGATGAGCTACGATGTAGCCACAGCTGGCCTGGGGCGCACTGACAAAGGAGAGGCTGCCGAGCACTGGCGCCACCGGTCCCTCTGACCACCACCAGCAGGCAAGTTGGGTTAAGTGTCTTGCCCAAGGACACAACAGCAGCATTCTTTGTCTGTAGCCAGGATCGAACCTTCCGAAAATGTCAAAGAGTGAAGGTGAAGGTGAGTTAAGTTCAGACCAATGGTAGATGCAAACATCTGGTACCTGATTTGGCTCCTCCAAACAATTCATGTCCTCTGGTAAGTGGAGCACTCCAGCTGCTCTGTGCATGACAGCAAAAATCTGTTGTTTTGCTGAATGCCAGAGTTGACCAAATTCTTGGATGGTGGGCCTCCTCGTGTAAAAGCTGCAGTCACGCAGCGCTCCTCCGTCAGAGCGGTGGGCCGCCAGACTGTGGTCCATCGTTTCCTCAGCACAAAAACAAATGATTAAATTATGCTGTTCCCTGAAAACTGCTTTCGCATTGAAGAATCAACAGATTCAAATGCGGTGAAAGATTTTTTATCAAATGCGACTTTAAATAACTTTATTTCCCAGCATGCAAAGTGCCAACAGAAAGGGCCTCACATGAGTCCCCGAAAGCCCTGCAATGAACTGTTGAAGCTCTCCGGGGGCAATTTGGAAGCTGAAGTCTGAATTTTCTGCATAAATTCTCAGAGTTGGAGGACGGATTGAATATTATACACGACTCTGGCTGCGTGTGATTCTTTAAACACAGCAAGCAACACAACAGCCTCCACAGTTGCTATAAAGTTGAATCATAAATCCAAAAGTGAACATTACAACCTTCATAAAAGTTGGATTTATTGCGGGGCTGTTGCAGCTTATGGACCTACTATGATGGCAATTAAATGCACTAAAGTGGATTTTTTATGTAACAGAAAGTAGGACCAGTCACTTTAGTTTATTGTTTCACTGTTGGCTTACTGATACTCAAAGACTGTAAAAATGGGGGGAAATGCATGAAATGACAAGAGAAAATGGCAGAAGATGAATAAATCCATCAAAAACCTTGAATATTTTTATAAAGATGCTTGATTTTTCTGAAACCAGAAAAAGGAACATAGAGCCACAAAGCAACTGGAAAATACAAATTGGCAACAGATGTCTAACACCCACAGACACAAAACGATAACTACAACAGAGCTGTGCAGCAAACATTTAAAACTCGCTCGAGTGACAAAACTAAACAATCAGTGACTTCAAAGACGCCAAATGGTGGCAGAAACATATAATCACTCAAAGAAAAAGCTGCTTCACTTAAAACATCTAAAGCATGACAATAAAAACACGATAAAATTCACTTCAAAAGGCATGAAATGGCAACCAAAGGAATTCATAAAAGGCCCACAGAGGAATAAATCATCAGAAGCTCCTCCAATGAATCCATGCACCAAGTGGGCAAAGTTTCAACAGTAAATGAATGAATCTATGACTAAATAAATTTTTTTTCTTTTACATGTTCATGCTCAGTGTGACCTTCGGCAGCGAACGCATCATTTAGCTCAGTTTCTGCAAAATGACCGAGTTAAAGCCATGTTAGCTCGTGTGGATTAGCGCTGGTGTCCATCTTCAGTTGGATTGACTAACTGTTACGAGTTAAAATGTTAGATGCTATAAACTTTTGCAAATAACCACTTTTTTGTTGTTGGTTTTGCAAAATTGACTGATTCATAGCTGTTTTGGGGTTGGTAATGTAGATTATCCATGGCAGCCATCTTGAATTTGGCTTCATCCTAATCTCTTACACCAAACATTAGTAGCCTACTTCCACACATGATGTACTGTTTGGAGGTTTGGGGAAATACTTATAAAACTCACACAAAACCCATATTTTTATTACAGAAAAGAGCAATAGGATTAATTAACTCTGAATACCATGCACCCCATTTTATTAAACTAAATATACTCAGATTTACCGACCTGGTCAAATTACAAACAGCACAAGTACTTTTTAAAAGTACATAACAGAATCATTCCAGATTGTGTTCAGAGGCTGTTCCAGGTCAAAAAGACACAGTATGAGCTAAGAGGGGAAGGACAATTTGTAAAACAGAAAGTCAGAACAAATGTTAGGAGTCAGAGTTGTTCAGTAGAAGGAGTAAAACTATGGAATAACTTAGACATCGATATCAGGGCATGCAACACAGTTCAATCTTTAAAAAAAAAGTAGATAAAAAGATGATGTTTGTGAGTGATCCAGTGTATTTCAGAGATGTGAATCAAAATGTTATGTTTAATATACACTAGATCTGCCCCTGTATGTAAAATAAAAACCTACTGTAGCAATACTGTGACAATTAATACATGTACAACAAATACCACTCAGTACTTATTATGAGCATTCATAATCTAATAATTTAACTAAGACTGTTTTTTTCCAGTTGTTTCTTCCACCGGTGTGATTTAGAAGACCTGTCGTTGGATTCTAGTGGTCCTTCTGTGACAGTAGAACAGTAGTCGCAATCTCAGGTTTCATTTGAAGGGCCTCCTCTTCTTGAATGGGGCCGAGTTACGTGGAGGAGGTGCGGGAGGAGGAGGCCACAGGCATCAAAGATCTCATTTTGTCCTCTGGTTCGAGACCCCGACACTCGGGGGTCATCACAGGGGCTGAATGGGTTCATAGAGGCGGCTGGACTCGGACAAGGACGCAGATGAGAGCGCGCGTGCTAATTGGAAAAACCTGGTGAAGCAATTAAGCGCGAGGAGAGACCCGGCGCGTGGCGGACGCACACGGTGAGAAAAGTCACTTCACTTGGTTTTACTCATGCTAGTCAGCTCTGCTGCGGTCCGGGTTCTGGACTGAACGATACGTTTGGGTCCTGGTTTCTGGTTCTAGAGCAGCGCGTACCGGACAGCGGTGAGTAACTTGTTTAAAACCCCACGCGTTTTTATTGAAGGAAACCCCTAAACTAAATGTCGGCTAATTTCACCCCCGTTTTAATAATGTTCTATTAAATCTTAGATTAAGTTTTTTCCCCCTATTTATCAATTTTCCCCTCGTTGCTTGTTTCTAACAGCCGTTTAAAGTAAACTATGTCTGACTTTCTTTTCCAAACGTCATCACTCTAAGTCCGTGGATTTGTTTCCCCACTAAAGCTTGGCATGACTTAGTTTTGTTCCTCCAAGAATGCCACAATTTCCAAAACATTTCATTCTGACTCAGCAAAGCGTGTTCACTCTCTTCCACTGGGTCCTTTTGAATTTCCTCTCCGCTCCCGATGGCATATTTAAAACAGAAGAGGAGACATGAGGATTAAAGTCCACTCTGGGTGAGTTTAGTTGAGAGGAGGTTAGAATTGACATTTGGAGATTCTTGTCTTGCTGCCCAGACTGCATTTTGGGATTTCAAGTGCCCTCTGTCTGCTCCATGAACCCTAAAATCCAGGCTTTCTGGTTTTGGTTAGGCAGGAATGTTAACTCGCCTTCTCTTGCTTTGTCCAGATCCTTTACCCAAAATTCTTCAACCCCCCTCCATCTCCTCCTGAGAAAGCAGGAAAAAGGGCTATTAAATCAGAGCTGGGTCTAGCTCACACACAAGCAAATAAATGTTTGCGTTCACCTGAGCCAGGAACCAGTTTATTGGCTGCAAACATTGTTGGGCGATGAGCTTCTTCTGGAGTGGAGGAAAATGAGGTGCTGGAAAGCTTGGTAGAAGGGGAAAAGTTTGCTCTCCAACAATTAAAAATTATCCTCTGTTGGCTTTTAAACAAAATTCTTGATATGTTGACTGATCCTCAAGATTTAGCAGAGTTTGGTGTTAAGAAGCCATATGGTCAAATCCTTAAAGAACACTTGAGTTGGCTGCAAAAAACAAACTGCTCAATACAAATAACATTTTGAGTTGTCACCTATTTTTGTTGGTTTAGTCGTCTTGGTACGCCTAACTTTTGATCTTACACATGGGCATTAAATGTGAGGGGGGGGGGGGGGGGGGTGCGTCACAACGACCAAAGAAACAAAGTTCAGCACAATCTGTGAAATTAACCAAGTTATACATCGATTTGTTGAAGTTCTGACTTGTCTTTAAATAAATCTAGCAGTACAAACGGCTGCTTTGGTTTCTGTGTAAAAGAGCTCTGGCGCTCCTGTTTCAGCTAGTAGTTGGTTTGAGTGGAGGAGGGCCAAAAATGACAGGTAATCTCGCTCATTAATATTCACGATGTGTTGGCTAACACTGATGCAGCTCTACCACTGACTGTTGACTTTGTAACGTTGATATTTCTAACAATTAACTCAAGTCTAATGGAATTTTGCTGTGGTTTGGTTGCTAATGCTAACGTTTAGCTTCAACTAGTGAGATGTTCTCGGCTGTTTCCTGGACCGCTAAACTAACGGCTAACTCAGTCAAGAGTCAAGGTGGGAGAGTCCAGGAATGTTAAGTGAAAGGGTCGCGTAGATCTGTCAGGGTTTTCTATTTTATAAATCCCAGCTGAATATTTATATTGGAGCTAAACATCTAGTTTGCAAAATCAATATTTTAGTTTAACCCCAAAATGAATATTTAGCTGGGATCTAAATATTTATTGAAAAATATTTAATTTGAAGCTAAACATTTAGTTAGCAAAATCAATATTAAGGTATAGATGGGATCTAAAAAATTTTGTTTGGAAATTTTAAATTTATTTTTTTTAACTAAATATTTAGATGGGATCTAAATATTTAGTTTGTAAAATCAAAATTTTGTTCTTTTAAAACTAAATATGAAACTCCAAATTATTATTAAATGAGATGGACTGAAATGAAATCTGGTGTTGTAGCTGATTGTGAAATAGGCTAAAGCTTATTGTGTGATTTATTTTTATTCAACTTTTCCTTTTCTACTGATGCCAAATTTTAGATCATCATTTGCAAAATTCAGATTATATTTTCAAAGCTAGCTGCATGTCTAAGTGGTCTAAAATCTCTAACTCCATAAGCAAATCAGCTGTTAAATCTAAGGTTAGTCCATCCAAACGTATAACATTAACGTCCTAAACAAAGTTTATGTTTATGTATTTAGCAGACGCTTTTGTCCAAAGCGACTTACAAGTGACAATCGGCATGTTGCCCTTGAGGCTAACAACAACAATAACAACAACTTGACATCCATCATGGAGAGGAGGGAACAAGGAGTGGACAGTAGAGAGGGGGGACGGGTGCAGGGAGGGTGCTAGTTAAGAGGATGCTCTCTGAAGAGCAGGGTCTTCAGGAGTATCTTGAAAATTGAAATTTCGGTGCACCAACAGACTCCATCTGTTGGTGCGCTGAGTGTGATGGATGGCTGATGGCTGCTAGGACACACAACTTTAACTCAATGTCTAAAATATACTGAGATGAAGTCATGTTTGTATTTTGATGCTGCAGATTGGCTTTGGCGGCCATGATGAATTGAGTCCTAGTCCTTTGATTTTCATTAACTGTCATCACAAGCTAAATGATATTTAGTGAGAACAATACACACCTGTAGGATTTACTTATACATTAAAGCAGATGTTACCCTGCAGCTGTACTCGTTTGCGTCTCCGCCGCCTCCTCCAGGGTCATGGAGGTCTCGGTTTGGTCGAACATCTCAGAGGTTCCCACCAGTGAGGAAGCAGAGGGCTGTTTGACTTAATGACACCGTTCCTCTGTAACCAGATGAATCTTGAATTTTTAGCCTCTCATAACAGACTTGTGCGTTTCAGAGCTTATAATTAGCAGGCTTGATGTTTTTATTGCTGTCATGAAAGCTGCTTTTTGTGGATGCTGGTGCATCAGATGTGATGAGTCCACAGATGCTGGCTTTCTGTCTGCTGCTGCTGCAGGAGCTTCTTGGAGCCTTCAAGGCTCAGGATTTCTGATGCAAGCACATTTAGATTAAAAGAATGTCAGAATGAATCTGTTAAGCGCTGTTTCTATTCTCTCGTTTGTGGAAAAAGGCAGACCGATCGTGCGAGTGTTCTACATCTAGAGCACTCATTTTTTGGTCATTCGATTGAATCTGTTGGGTGTAAACCGAGCAGAACTGTTGCTGTGAATTTTGGCCAGAATAAAGGTGAATCTTTTTTTTTTTTTTTTTTTTTTTTACACTGCAGCATTTCAGGTAGTGAGGTGATGAATACATTCCTGAGAGTATTGGCTCTTTTATTGCAGTGATCCCTGCAGTCCAAACCCTCAGTGGGTCTTCTGGCTGCACACTGCCTGCTTGTGCTTTGATTGTTGATGAATCAGCATGGGGCTTTGGAATGCCAGGGAGCTGTGAAGATGTGGATTTACCAAACTACCAGGGCTCACTACCTTCTACCAACAGCATTAGTTCACATCTGTATAAAGTTTAACAGCTTCATTTCTTTGCCCTGATGGAGACTTGGAACCTTCTCCTCCTTAAACCTGTTTTTTTTTTTTTTTTTATAATCATGCAGGAGTGTAAAAATGGTAGTTTGACAGTTTGGGGTACTTTATTAGCCCAATTAGGACCGTTAAAGTAATGACAAGGGCTTATAAAAACCCACTGGCGAAGTTGGGAACAAATTGTTTTCCTACTTATTCATGTGGTCTATAAAGCTTTGGAGAAAAACATTCATTAGTTTCCCAGTACAAAAGGTCTCAAAATGTGCCGTTTTGTCTAACAAGAGGATTTCAAACCCCAAATATTCAGACGACTTTTATGAGGCAGCAAACAAAAGCCAGCACACACATTTAAGGGACAAAAATTAATAAATAAAAAAGTCTTAAAGGTTCACTGAGCAACCATTTACTCACTTATTTATGAAAATGTTCAGTTACTCAAAGTTCTTCATGCGTGCTGAACATGATAATAGTCTCCTACACCTATCTCCTGCATTAGCTTCTGATAGAAAGCAGACGGTGAAACTCTAGGATTAGAAAATCCTGACAGATCTACGTCACACTGACACTTAACATTCCTGGACTCATCCATCTCAACTAACGACGGGGTGGGCTGTTTTTAGCATCCAAGAAACGGTAGAGAATGTCTCAGATGGTAGAAGCTACCTGTTAGCATTAGCGACTGCACAACATTGTGTGGGAAAACCACCAAAACATGTAAAAGTGAAACTTAAAACATTTCACATCCTTATTTTCCTGTTTATAAACGATTTTATATTGCATATCACTCTAACCTGGCTTTCAATCATGTCACTGTAAATGTAAAGAGAAGCTTAAAGGTGAGGTTCACTCCTTTTAATCCATACATTTGCTGTGGTCTAAAGTAGGAATGAATGCCTTGTAACTCGTTCTTTGGAGGTAAAAATACCTTCTCAAACCAAAAAGTTGCCCACATCACAGCTACGCTTCAAACGGCAGGTTTTGGACTCTTTATTTCCTGATTTTGGGACATCTCGCCCCTGATTAGATAACAGCAATGTGGTTCTACAGCTGATTTGCAACATGGATGTTTTATCTCTACAAATTACGCAAGCATGGACTAGTCCTGCTGTGTGGTGTGGTTGCTAATGGTTAGCTTAAACGAGCTGAGACATTTTCTGCATGTTACAACAGCCTTCCTCGTTGTGAGTCATGAATGTTAAGTGACAGTGTGAAGTGACAGTGTGATGTAGACCTATCAGGCTTTTCAAATCCTAGAATTTCCCCGTCTATTTTCTTAACAGCTAATGCAGGACATGGGTGTTGGAGACAATTCATGTTAGGTGGGCATAACGACCAATTCTAATCAGAAATAATCATTAGAAATGTTATTTCAGTCAACGACACCTTTAATAAGGAAAGCAATCCATGATTCCTGGAAGCGTTTTTATTTCAATCTGCCTGGTTTTGTGAGTCATATCTATAAAGTAAAGGGAATAACGCACTAGGATTTTTGGTAACATTGTCATGATGCCAAAATTTGTAATAGTTTGAAATTTCCCCGATGGTGAACAATAGGATTTAGGTGAAATGGGCGAGTAAGCTCCGCCTCCTTTTTGAGCTCTGTAGCTCAGGTAGACTTCACAGAGACATCATTCAATTGAAATGGGTCACAGGAAGTTGGACTTTACATGACTGAACTGGTGTTTGGACATGTCTTTGTTCGATCAGGTTTTCACTTGTAGAATTATTTTTATTAAAATTTCTAGTCTTTTAACACGTGACCATCTGAGCTTTCTGCTGCTCACCATTCAAGACATTTTTCAGAATGTCTTGTAGCAATTAATACATTAATTATGACCAATAAGTGATGTTCCATATCAATATGATATATTAATCTGATTGATCTTTGAATGTTTAATCAGAAGATTCTTGGGTTCTTTGCTTATTCAGGGACCATAAACACACTCCGTATTAATTCAGTCAGTATATAGTTTATAAAATGAATTTCATTATTTTTCCTAAACTAATGATACATGACGAGATATGAATGAGATGTGGTGTGGTGGATGTGAGGTGTTCTGATGGAAGCTAGATGTTGTAGCAACCGTTTTTAGTTTCTGAGAGAAATTATGAAATCTGGCTGTAAAAGAATTAGTTGTTGTTTATAACTATAGAGTTGTTTATTTATAAACCTCATCAGACACTAGTATGCTGGCTGGTATGAGTTGCTCCCAGCGGTCCGGAGGTTTGCGGTCAGTGGTGAGGTCACTGGATGTCGAAACCACCATACTCAGAGATTAGTGGCTTCCTCTGAGTACAGCTTCCCGGGCCATGAGATGCAACCCGGGGTCTGCAGGTTAGGGGTCCAAGGTGGATGTCTGAGAGTTGAAGTCGCTCTGAAAAGAGCTGCTGTGTCTGTAATCACTTGCAGCGTCGCAGAAGGTTTTGACTTGAGGTCAAAGGAGTTTGCTTCAAAAGAGGCTTCTTTCCCGATTTGGCTGAATCGGGACTCTGCTGGAAACTGAATTACTCTGAAGTAATTCTTGTTTTATTAAACTACTTAGTTATGATTTCTGGCCGAGTTTGGCAAATCAGAATTTGACACGTTTCTGAGCATTTACCAACATCCCTCAGAAAGCCACAACGTCCTTCAGATACAAAAATGTTTTAACCTTAACATGTGTCTTATTGTGAGGAAAAGCAAAGCCCCACACAAAAGAATAGTCGATAGATATCCCAATCAGGAAATTGTAATCCCACTTAGCGAAATCCGCAGGCAGGGACCATGATGAGAAGGAAACCAGAGCCATAAGCCGAAACAGGCCAGATCCCAGCTATCCGTAGCGATCCAGGAAACCATAGCAGGAAAACCATAGGACATCCAGAACTTCAGAAGAACCGGAACCCAGAGCAGCAGAACCATGTGAAGCAGTGATGTTATCCCAGGAAGCGAGGACATCTGCCGAAACTCAGCAAAGTATCAAAACACGCACACACACACAGGGCATTTGACCGTAGACCCACATAGATAAAATAGATAGAAAAACACTAGGACTATATGTACCTGCATGTGTATGGAGATTATGTGAAAAGAGGTCAGCTTAAAGGAGTGGAGTGGATGCAGTAAACTACGTGTACTGAAAGTGTTGCAAAAAGAACAAAATAAACAAACCCCTATAATATATGTAAGGGACAATCAAAGCTTTGGAGCAAAAATATTATTAAAAAAAACGGAAGAGCTCATAACTGGCAACAATTGAAATGGAAGGAAATCATAACTTATGTAACGTCATCATTGGTAATCAAAAATAATGCAGATATGTATATATTGGAGTACATCTTTAAAAGAACAATATAAAAATGAAGAAGAAACACAAGAAGTTAATCAGTGTTAGTAATCAAACCTATATGTGAATGTACCACAGAAGGAATTGGAGATTAGTATCGTTAAAGTATAAAATTACCTTAAATCGGTCATAAAATGTGTGAAAAATTTGTAAAAATTCTAAATCTCTAGGAATTGAAAATGATAATGGAATTTGGATTCACATAACAGTGGATTTACTTAACTGTTATGAACTTAAGTCATAGTACTGTGGAAACTGACAGCATGACAATAAAGTCAACAGCCTGTTATGTTTAGACATGAATTATGTCCACGCACTTTTGCTTTGGGGGGGGGGGGGAGGAGATCACGCAAGCACATGACTCTCCTCCTGCTGGACACAAAGGTGTCAAGGCCACGTTTGGTGCCCTGAGCCAGGTTGCTTACTGGCCAGGATGCGTCGAGACATCTCAGACTACGTCCAGAGCTGTCTGGTTTGCTGTCAATGTCCAGTTTTTACCCAGCACCTGTACGTCTGAGGTTTACTTTTCTGCCTGCTATTAAATTTGCCATTTGGGATTAAGAGGCAAGTGTGTGGTTACCAGTGACCTTAATGAACCACCACTGGTTACCTTGGTGAGCCAATTAACCTCTAGTTTGTCACAAAATCAAACCTTTTGACTCTTGGTGTTAACCTGAGGTCGTGCTTACTCCTCACCCCTGCCACATAGACTCAAGGGATAAACCATCAATCCTGCTCAATGGTCAACTTTCCTTGCGAGGTCACCCATGAAGACAGTGGGAGGGTTAAAGGATGAGTTACTGTTGGTAATATGAAGACAGAATACGTATTTCCTTATTCTGTATTCCCTTTGTTTTTATTTATACAGATCTGATTTAGCACTCCTGTTCCCTTGGCACCATGAGTTGGAGTTTCCTAACGCGTTTGCTGGATGAGATCTCGAACCACTCCACATTTGTGGGGAAGATCTGGCTCACGATTCTCATCGTCTTCCGCATCGTCCTGACGGCCGTTGGTGGTGAAACCATCTACTATGATGAGCAGAGCAAATTTGTCTGCAACACACAACAGCCTGGATGTGAGAATGTATGCTACGATGCATTTGCGCCTCTCTCACACGTCAGATTCTGGATTTTTCAGGTGAGCTGTCTGTGGAACATGATACTAGATGAATGCTGTGTCCTTCAATGAATGGTCTAAACCTTTTTATGGGTTTGTCTCCAGGTGATCATGATCACCACCCCGACCATCATGTACCTGGGCTTTGCCATGCACAAGATTGCGCGTATGGATGACTCTGAGTACCGGCCTGTTAGGAATAAGAAGAGGATGCCCATAATCAGTCGCGGGGCGGTGCGTGACTATGAAGAAGCAGAGGACAATGGAGAGGAAGACCCGATGATTGCTGAGGAGATCGAACCAGACAAACCAGACAAAGGAGATAAAAGTCAGGCAGCTGTTGTTGCAGCTTATATTTTTGATGTTTTTAACTTTCACGATTCTAATTGGTGTTGTGTTTTTAAGGCACAGAGAAGAAGCACGATGGTCGACGTCGGATTTTGCGCGATGGCCTGATGAAAGTCTACGTCTGTCAACTGCTGTGGCGCTCTGCCTTCGAGGTCGCCTTCCTCTTTGGTCAATACATTCTCTACGGCTTGGAGGTGATACCTTCTTATGTGTGCACCCGATCACCGTGCCCCCACACAGTGGACTGTTTTGTGTCCCGCCCTACTGAGAAAACCATCTTCCTGCTGGTGATGTACGTCGTCTCGTTCCTTTGCCTCCTACTCACAGTCTTGGAAATCATCCACTTGGGGGTCAGTGGGATCCGGGACACTTTTCGCAAGCGCGCAGCCCACAACTCTCGTACCCACCGCCCGTCATCTGCACGCTCTATACCCACGGCCCCACCAGGATACCACGCCACCATGAAGAAAGAGAAACTGAAAGGGGAGCTGAGAGACTTGCCCATGGGTGACTCTGGACGGGAGAGCTTTGGGGACGAGGGGCCCTCTTCCAGGGAGCTGGAGCGGCTGAGAAGACACCTAAAGTTGGCCCAGCAGCATCTGGATCTAGCGTACCAGGCGGATGAAGGAAGTCATTCTCGCAGTAGCAGCCCAGAGGTCCACACAGCTGCACAAACGGCTGCTGAGCAGAACCGCCTCAACTTTGCCCAAGAGAAGCAGGGAGAATCAACTGAGAAAGGTAAGGATCACTCGTTATCGTCACTAGGCTTCGTTGTTGGTGACCAAGGATCAATGACACTTGTCCATGTCATAGACAGGGAGAATCTCTAGTACAGGTGCCATTTTTATAGTAACTCTTTAAAAATGTAATCTAAAATCGTGTTTTAGCCTACCAAACTACAAGTGGGGATACAGCAACAGTCAAGAGTTTCACCTATTCAGAAATTATGTACACTATTTCTATTTTTGGGGGACGGGGTGGATTTCAGTTTTACTCTTTACTAAGATGTAATGTAGGCAATGTGTCAATTTCTCTTGTTGAGCCCATCTCGTAGAGCCTCATGCAATTTGAATTGTGCGCTTTTCAGCGTTGGGGAGACAAGAACATTTATGTGATCCAACCACCAGGGATGATTACTATTTAGATTAGCGATCTCTGACCCTTGATTCCATTTTGTTTCCTCGTTTGATACATCACATTTACAGTGGGGAGAATAAGTATTTTACACATCAGCATTTTTTTCAGTAAGGGTCTTTCTAAGTGGGCTATTGACACAAAATTAGCACCAGATTTTGTTATGCCAAATATTGAATTAATACAAAGAATCAGAACATTTAAGTATACAGGCTGAGTCTGGTGAAATGAAACCGGGAATAAGTACTGAACACTATTTAATACTTTGAAGAAAAGCCTTTGTTGGTGATTCCAGCTTCTAGACGCCTCTTGTATGGAGAGACCAGTTGCCTGCATTGCTCAGGGGTGATCAGGCCCATTCGTCCACACAAACGCTCTTTAAATCTTAAAGGCTCCTTCGGTTTCCTTAAGTTCTCTCCATAGACTTTCTTTGGGATTTAGGTCAGGTGATTGACTGGGCCATTCATGCAACTTGGTTTTCTTTATTTCTTTGGCCTTATGTTGCCATCATGTTGTAGAAATGTCCACCATCTATCTTCCTTTTCAGCTTTCTGGTAGATGGCAGCAGATTTTTATCCAGAATGTTTCGGTACATTTCCCCTTTCATCATGCCTTCAATAATGTGAAGTCTGCCAGTACCCCTCGTTGAAAAGCAGCCCCGTACCACGATGCTTCCACCCCCAAACTTAAATGCTGATATGGTGTCCTTAGGGTGGTGAGCAGTGTTGCTTCTTCTCCAAACATGGTGTGTTGAATGGTTTTATCTGACAATACTGTAGTCTCCCAGTGATCCGCAGCTTCTCCAAATGCTGTTTCACAAACTTTAATCAAGCCTCAACATGCTTTTTATTTTTATTTTTTCCAGCAGTGGAGTCTTAGGTAGTGAGCATGTATGGATGCCACAGCTGTTCAAGGCATTTTTGCTTCTAGTTTTCTTTAAAACAAGCTGCTGATGCAAGGTCTTCCTGAAGTTCTGACCGAATGGTTCTTGGCTCTTTGAGAGCTCTCCTGATTATTCTTTGGACTCCTTGGACAGGAATCCTACGTGGAGCACCAGATCACGGCCGGTTTATGGTGATGATGCCATTTCTGGTTAATGACCCCCACAGTGCTCACAGGAACATTCAGCATTCTGGAAATGCACCTGTAACCATTCCTGTCAGACTGCTTTTCAACAATAAGATTATGAAGATCTTGGGAGATTTCTTTGCTTTTACCCTTCATGAAGTCTTTCCTGTGTGCCTCCTGGGTAACGAGAAGCCTTTATAGGTCATCAATTAGGACTAAAGGAGCTGATATCAATTAGTACCGATTCTGGGTGGGGTTTCTCTCTCAATACTGACAGATTTCAGGTGATCTTCTGGCTTTCTATGCCATTTTGCACCTTATCTTCATGTCTTTAAAACGTTTTTCCTGAGTCCCCACTTTATTACACATAACTCAATTTATGGACCTAAATGTTTAGGTGTCTTGGCATGAGTTAAATAGCTGAGTTGATATTGACATGTGGTGGAAATGTTGTGGCAATGACCCACTTAGAAATATCATTTGTATAACCAAAACATCCTAAAGGATAGAGCTGCACCGTAAATTGTAAATATATCGTTATCGCGATATCGGCATGCACAATAGGCATTTCGCAAAGAACAAATATCGCAATGAATGGTCTGCTCAAATGCTTGCTACACATCGCACGCATTCGCATTCGTTCAATCAAAAGCATGATGTTTTTTTTTTTTTTAACTAATCAGAGCTCTTCACCCATTTGGCCAATTGTGTGGGTTCTCATAGGTTAGATTCCCGCCGCTGAGGTGGATGGCACTTAGTTTTGATGGTTAGCAAACACCCGAGTTAGCTTTGTTCTACACTCTTTGCTGATTCTGCTTTTCTCGGGATCCACCGATTGCCTTTTTCTTTTTCCCTTTCCTCACATCTTTTGCTTTTCTCATTTTTTTTTTTCTTATTTCTTTTTGATCATTTTTGTTGCTGAGTTAAGTTCTTTTGGTTATCACACGTAATATTGTCATCGCAATATTAATCACTGTTATCGCAGGCTTTCCTAATATTGTGCAGCCCTACTAAAGGACCTAACCCATCCTGCTAACCATCTCTTCAAACTTCTTATGTCTGGTAAAAGAACTCGCTAACTAGGAGGTCGCACTAACTGATTCTGCTGAGCAATTGGTGCACTACAGCACCTTTTTATATTTAGCTAGTTAATCCCGATACCTTAATGTGTGACTGTTTACATTTTTATTACCATGTCAACGTGTGTGTGTGTGTGTTCGTTCTAGTTTAGCCTTGTTTTTATTTTACGTGAGCTGTCTTTAGAGAGCGCCAAGTCAACGCCGTTGTACACCTGTGCGATGGCGATTATCTTAAATCTTGTTGGGAAAATGCTGTCAAATTTCTCCTCTTGCTGTAAATGGGTAGATTTGAGTCAATCTTTAGCTTTAACGCTAAACCCAGTCCTAAAAAATGTCTGAATTTTTTTGATTGGTTTGTTAATGTTTAATGTAGGGTTGGGTGGTATGGCCACGTTTGTTTATTTTTTTTAACCTATTGGTTTTCCTGTATTAAACTGTCTTTATTTTTAATTTTTTTCTAACAAGAATGATTTTACTCGCATTACCCTCAGAAAAATAGAATGCTGTAGATTGGACATGGAAAAAATGTGATCCAGTCCACGTGACAGCCACAGGGCCATTTAAAGCCAGACATGGGTAATGCATAACTCCTTAAAATATGGTTGGCAGTAATTAATTTAAAGATTAGAATGATTAATGCAGTCAAAATAGAACTATTTCTTGGTAATCAAATGCGTTTTCGGCAGAGGTGGTCAAGCAAGTTTCCAGTGTTGAAACCACTGGCTACTTGTGCTCGAGAGCACATGCAAAAGATAGCAGTTTTGTTCAGATCTGACCTTAAAGCTGAAAACTTCCAAACTACAGACGTAGCTCCTCTTTTGGAATTGGTGCCTCTGGCCGTGGCTGGTCCTGTCATTAGCTATTTAAATGGGTTTCCTTGAAGAGGCGCTGTAGTCCACCATTGCATCACTGTCTGCTTCTGTAATCAGTTATCAGGAAGTTGTTGGCATGTTGTTGTTTAACTAACTCTTAACCTCTGCAAGCTTTGCATGCTAAATGTAATCTTCACATGTTCTGGTGTTTGTCTTGTTTATTCAACAGTATAGTGGTCTATGAAAATTTCTATCATAATTGAAATGAACACAATCATTTGGTATGAAGGTACATGGCACAAGCCTATTTTAATGCTAAAGGATATTTTGGTTTTACTTGGCAAAGAATTAATCATCTGAGGCCTGACTTTTTTTGTCTTTTGGGAATGGTTTGACCTCAAACCCAAACTGTCTCTGAGCAGTTAGTAATGTGCAATTTGAAAATTAAAGCCTAAATTTAACGATGTATGGAAGAGGATTGGGGCCACAAAAAAAATAAAAATTCAGACTTGTTTTCTAAGTAGGCAACTTTTGTTTTAGTGGCCCCAATCCTCTTCTGTAATTATAAAAATGCAGTAAAGCCAAAAGTCTACGTTCTCATAAGCTGACTCGGTAGTCTTTCCTTTTATGAGCTCGATTGCATTAAAAATTACATGGATTTTAAAGAAGAAATGATTATTTATATAGTGCCTCAAGATAAGTCGAGAGGACCTTCACAAGAGCAAAACAACATTTATCAAACAAGATTAAGGTATAAGTGGATCCCAGGAAAGGCAGAATTGATATTTTGGTATTTTGCTCATATGTTTGAGTTTGTCATATGCAGTAGTGGACCAACTGAGTGCAACTATGAAAATATTTGTGGTCCATTTATACAATTTAATACTTTAAAAGTTATAAAAACAGTAGGTAGGCCTACTTAAGCTATTAACATTAAATCTAGCGTGAACAGACGTCTAACTTTTGGTTTTCTGTGCACATGTTCTAAGTGTGTTTTTGTCTTCTCCTTTGAGGAATCCGCGCCTGAGCGTGCTTCCTGCCTCTGACGTCCGTCCTTGGTTCCTACTGGCCTTAAACACATGGTGGAAGCACATATGGGAATGCAGTCAGACCACTGAGGGAGACCAGAACGTGTGTGAGCGCGTGTGAACGGGAGAATTGTGCCTTTCAGTATTAGCGGTCAGTCCCAAACAGAATGCTGACGGAGCCGTTTAAATGATTTAATCTCCATGACTCTAAACTTGAAATCCTGCCACATCTGGAGGTTTATTTTTTATTTCCTGCTTCATCCCAACCTTAGCCGTGCCTTCGGGTAAATCCCATATACACCTTGTTCTTTTGCCCGCTTTTGTTGTAGTGGCCATGCAATAAAACCCTCATCCATGTAAGGACTGTTCTAAGCTTTAAACTTATTTTGTTCACAAAAGGCTCATTCTCTTTATGAACTGTCACTGAATGTTGTCTCTTTGAGGCTTGCTGTACGGAGTCTAAAACGTTACATCTGTATCTTCTGAGCGTGTGCAGCAGCTTTTAGTGGTTGAAGGTTGATTTAACCCAGTCTTTAATGATTACGTTCAAATTTTGCAAGACATGACAAATGTCTCAAGGATATTTAAAAATCTGTACATGTACTTCAAATCGGCCAACATCTAGACCTGGGCAATGCTTGAATACTTCTCTGAAGTCTACTTTGCAGAAATCAACCAGTTTGTCATTTAAACCAGTTCCTTTAACCAATCTGTTCCTACTGGTTTTGCCACAGCAGCGTTTAATCCATTGTCACCTTTACAGCTTTACAAATGGGATGTTTGTAGAATCCTGTTTTAGTTTTAGAAAATATTCATAACTATTTGGAAAAAGGCTCGTGGATCACAAGATGGCACCAACTTTTTTTTGAGTCGTTTTCCATTTTAACAAGCTTCAGTTAGTTATTGCTGTAGTTAACCAGGGTGGGAGGTTTCTGCTCCATCCCGACGCGTGACCGGTAGTTTTTCATACAGTAGTTGTGACTTTTCACTTGGTTTTACAATCAGCGGCTGCAGAAGTACCAAAGGTTAGCTTGATGCTGCGTTCCTATCATCTCACTTCCACTTGTGAAACATTCCGTTCTGATTATGGTACTCCTTCATACCTTTTTGGGTTTTCCTGTTGCAAGTTTTGTAGTTTTTGTAACTGTAGAGATTATTTTTGTCTTAAGAGTAAATAAATATATTTGAATTAAAGCCCTCCTGTCTGTTTTCTGGATAAACTTTGAAATTTATTTTATTGACCATCTCACTTCTGGTGAATCTGCTTATGCTGAATTATATAAAAAGTTGAAGTTATTCCGGGGGAAAAAATGTGAAGTGGTTCTCCACTGCCATCTAGAGGGGAAAACTAGCATGCAATTGTTTTAAAGAGTTAATCAAAAGGCCAAATGACCCGTTTTAAAGTAGGTTTCCTGTGAACATTACATGTCAAGCTTCGTTATTCGTAAAATATTAAATGCATCTACTGAAGAAAAAGGATCCATGAGGTGATTATCCATTCCTCACTAGTATGGATGATCTGTTAGATGAGTTAACTATGATGCTTCTTTACCATTGTTGGACTTGTTCTGTGAATATCACCACTTCCAACTCATTATGAACGAGTCCCCTAAGGCTTTATTTCATAATAGATACTTATGGCTTTAGATCTCATTATGGAATCAAAACTTTAAACACTATTTAACATGGTTAATATTGGCAGCGGTGCCCCCAGAAAAACTTCATAGAAGGACCAGTGGAAGATTTAGGGGTGATGCACCAAAATTGGTCCTTGTTACTCTGGGAGGGTTTAACGCATAGCTATGCTTCCGTCATTATAGAACTATGCATTCACTACGTTTACCTCAAATTCAAGATGGATTTTAAAAAAAATTCAAGTTGTGAATTTTATTTTGGAATTTTAAAACCGTTTATAATTTATAATTAAATGTGTAAATGTTATTGGCTTTGTTTTAAAAATGAGATTGAAATTGAAATGAGATTAAAACGCATGGTTTGTGTAAACGTGATCAAGGAGGTGGTGTCCCATAACTTTCTGTATCAAGATTTATGTTAAAGATTTAAATTCAAGTTTAAAAGTCGGTCATTACTTAAGGCTTTATTTTAATTGTAGAGCTTCCTTTAGAACTCTTATGACTCATAACTGACTTTTAAATTCACAACTGTAATTTACAAACCCATAATTATAACTAATTGTTTTTTAAACTTACAATAAAAGACACAACGTTACAAATGAGTGTCAGAACTAATAATTATGGCTGTCAGATTAGATCATCCCTGTAGGCCACCCCCGATTGTAGGTACTCACATTGGCAGAGGAAACCAGATGGCGCTAAACACTACATGGTGTTTTTTAGGTCCAAATATCTTAACCATCTCAGGCTCAATAAGTTTTGATAAAAGGACGAACATTCAAGTCCTTCAGGGGTACTTCTGAGTTAAACACTGCTCATGAAATATGTATGTTGCGTAACCAGGTAGGTAGGTTTTAGCATTGCTAATCTGCAACGCCTGCCTCCAGAGGGTTAAACTGTCCGTGAATTCAAATGGTGTTTTTCTTTTTCGGACTCCGGTAGTTTCTCCTAAAGTTGAAGTGGTAGCAGCTGGCTGTTTCTCCTTTATCACTGAGCGGAGAACCTCTCACACCAGTGGTGTTCTGCTGCTAAAAGCAGGAAAAGAGTGGAGGACTCGGGAAAAGGCGGATTTGTGGTCAAGAGGCATGAAAAAAAAGAATGGTGCTAGCTTGTTTGCAGATTTGCTTTTGCAGCTTTGAATATTTTTGGGGAAAAAAATTTGTTTTTAAAATCACGAAGTCTGACCAGTTTATTTTATTCCAGAATCCAAAGACATTTTTAACTCGACATGTACAAAGAAATTTCAATCACATCTTTTGGTTTGGGTTAGGTAAAAGAAAATGAACAGTTCCACAACTCTCATCTGAGACGATTTAATACGAACGCTAAACTCCTAAAATATTAAACGAGTGAATTTCCCCATTTTCTGCTGAAGAAAAATCCATCACATCTGCAGGTCACCACGGGAAGTCTCTCAGTGGGAGGGATTTTGGGGAACCTTTGGGGTTCAGACACAGGTGCACTCCTTAGGCATGATGTTGGGCAGGGTCTCATACTTGAAGGAGTACCCACCATCAGATGTTGTCGTGATCTTCAGGGACTTCATGGACCCTGGAACCGGCGCGCAGCACTGAGTCATCCCTAATCTAGCGGAAGTCCGATCCCAAGCCGAGCAGTTCCCATGACAATAGTAAAAGGTCAGCACCTTCGGTTGGACGATCCAGCTGTCCCAGCCCAGCTCCTCAAAGCTGATCTCGATTTCTTCTCTGCGGCAGTCGTCGTGCTGAGGTTCCTCCTGTGAGGGCCTCTGGAGGAGGTGTAGGGCTGTAGGAGACCAGGGGATGGTTACTACTGCATCACGGGGAGAACGAGTACGACCCCTGGGCTTGACGTGGAGATGAAGAAAGGCCATCTGCTCTGGGTCACGATTCCACTGACAGGCCAGACACCGGACCTGAAGCAGAAATGGACCCTCAGCAATGGAGTTCATCAACGGCCCATCCAGACTGAAGGTGCTCCATCCATCAGAGCTCCTCAGTGTTGGAGTTTGTGCTGCCTGGTAGAGCTGCTGTGCTGAGAAGATGAAGAGTGAGGCAGACGAACCAGCGCCTCCCTCAAAGAAGCAGAAGTGAGCAGATGTGACCACAGCGGCCTGAAGGTTTTTAGAGGGCTGGAAGTAGAAGGTGAAGTAGCTTCTGGTGCTTTTATTCATGGCTGAGTCAACAAGGGCAAAAGATGAGTCTGCAGGAACGTAAGTAAAGAGAAGGTTCCTAAAGAAAAGTTGAAGGTAAATTACAAAACTTTATTTTACTCAAATGAAAAAAAAAGCTTCTCACCAGATGGGAACAGAATCACCTGAGACGTTTCCCGGTCCCTGCTGGGTTCATGGTTCTCCCTCACTGCTCTGGTGGTCCGGAGGACCCTCCTGTGTCTCTGCTCCACGTTTGGTGGTGTTGTGTCCTCTCCAGGACCCCGTACCCTGGTAAGAGGTGGCTTCTCCAGACCCAAGTTCTCCAGAACTCGCTCTTTAAACCAGGACAAGATGACTCCCCTGGGCAGCTCCTCTGGCTTGTAGGCTTGGACCAAACTCTGGATCCAGAGCAGAACCAGGATAGGCATGCCACAGGACACCATGACTGTACTGATGTCTTCTCACACAGTTGTTGCTCTCTGGGTCTGAGAAAAGTCTGCAAGCTGCAGCGTTTTGTTACTGTCTCACAAATGATGATAAAGGATGACCTTGGAACTTCTGATTTGCAGGTTTTTCACAGTCAGAAGCTCTCTGCATGATTTAAATAAAAAATGTCCACCCAGTAGAATATATTTTTGTCATTAAATACACAAATAATTCATGCATGTTGCTTTTATTTCTTCTAAATGATGATGAATGTATCTTCTGCGGGCTTAAAAGGCCTCCTGTCTGCCTCCTTATCTCACCAAGTTAAATCCCTCCTAGAAAACTATTCTCTCAGAAACATTTAGTTAAAAGGAACTTTTACAAACTTCATTTAAAACATTTGTGTTCTCTACTAAAAGTGCTCCTTTCTAGTTGAGGTGCTTTTGAGAACTCATTTTTGATTGAAGAAGACATTTAAACATGTATTTTGAGAATTTCATTAATGTTTTCCATGACTCCAGTATCATAAATTGTGTTTAGAAACAAAATATTGAGTGAGAAAACTGAAAGTTCTTGTTAGACGTTTTCGTAAAAGCCAGATTTCTTAGATTTTACTGTAAAAATACAAACTTTTTACAAGCATGGTGAGAATAGTATAAAAAAAGTTAAATTTATCATTTATTTGGTTAGAAAAATGAGTAAAGAAATGAGTATTTTTAAAGAAAAAAAAAAACGAAATGTATTGGCTAAAAATCCCATTAAGTATAAAATGTGAAAATGTTGCAGAACAGCGACCCCTGTGTCCATGTTCTGTGTCTGCAGTTTGTGTCTTGTCTGTTTTTAATGCAAAGTATGAAAAAGAAAGACTGACCATCGACATTAATATAGAGACTGACACATAAAAAACACTTATATGACTTTGAATCATTTTTCCATGGCTTTCCATAACAATTCAACATGAAAATTTTCTTCAATTATTGGGAGCAAAAATGAGCCATGGCTAACATTTGTAATCTTTTAATTTGACTTTAACTTAGTTTGAAAAGGAGGGACGTATAATTTTTTTGGTGTTAACTGATGCATCATTAATGGTCTAAAAACATAAGTAATACCAAACATGTTTATTTTAATTTAAAACAGATGTTTTCAGGACATTTTGGATGTACGTTGAGACGTGACCAGCAGATGGCGATAAAACATTAAGCAAGACTTTCTTTTCAATGTGGAGTATTTATTGTTGGGGTGGTCCATTTAAAAGAGAAAAATATTTTGTAGCTTTCTTTTGTTTTAATAAATGGGAAATATTTTTATTTAGATTAAAGCACGCATTAGCATGGCTGCGCAGTGGCACAGTGGTTAGAGCTCTTGCCTTGCAGCAAGAAGGTCCTGGGTTCGCTTCCCGGCCTGGGATCTTTCTGCATGGAGTTTGCATGTTCTCCCTGTGCATGCGTGGGTTTTCTCTGGGCACTCCGGCTTCCTCCCACAGTCCAAGGACATGACTGTTAGGCTGATTGGTCTGTCTAAATTGTCCCTAGGTGTGTGTGTGTGATTGTTTGTCCAGTGGCTCTCTGTGTTGCCCTGCGATGAACTGGCTCTCTGTCATGGGTGTACCCCGCCTGATAGCCCGTTGACCGCAGGAGATAGGCACCAGCCTTCCCCGTGATCCTACGTGGGCAAAGCGGGTTCAGACACTGGATGGATGCATTAGCATGAGATGGTGACATGTGTGAGTTCTTAACATTTTTTTTAATCACAATTGTCTATTTTTCCACATTTTAAATATATTTTTAAACATTTTCTAAATACTTTTATATATTTTTACATTTTTTGTTTTTGTGAAGCGCCTCGTGATTTTTATCTTGAGAGGCGCTATAGAAGTGATATTTTCTTCTTCTTCTTTTAAATGCAGTTTTTCCTCATTTCAAATGTCAATTTTAAGATCCGAACTCATTTTGTGCTAGCTGACCCAATTAATAAAACGATGAGAGGTTTAAACGGCAGTCAGTTTTTTTCTCTGCTAGTGGTTGGTGGTATTATCTAAAGGGCTTGGAGTGTGCGTGTGTGTTGTGCGTGTACGAGTGTGAGGTCACACAAGTCAGTCCGAGAAATGTGACCTATCTGAGCAGCTGTCCTCTCCAACCTGAGGGAGCAGTAATGTGGGAGACTGAGAACATGAGCTAATTTAAGTGTTCAGAGGCTCAGAAAGGTTAAAAAGGGAGTTTTTAAGAAATACGTGAAGACAACAGAAGGCGTAAGTAGTTTGACATTTAGAGGAAATAACGCGCCTGAGTCTGTACGCGTTGTTCTGGAGGACTGAAGCTGTTGAAAGGGACCATAGGGGTGGCTGCTAATGCTTCGTGATCTGTGCTGGACTTGCACCTTCATACTTTGCTTGCCAAAAGACACACAGGCAGCAGCTTTAACAAATGATCTGAGATGAAACATTCGGCTCCATGGATCGTGTGACCTCAACTTGGACTTTGGGGGGATGTCCAAAGGAATTTCTTTTGGATTTGGCTCGGAACACAAAGACGGTGAGTCGCATTTGTGACTTGACTAAAGTCCATCTCTTAGTACTTTATTTTTGCTTGTGTGACATAACATTTTGTTTTTAGAGCATTAAAACTCACACTTGTAACACAAATCTGATTAAACGGTTTGATTAATGATCAAATCTTTTATTTTGAAAGAGCAGGGTGTATAAAAGTCTAAATAGAAGCAACATTTTATTTTTTCTTACAAAAACAAATGGATCACATTCCTTAAGCCAATTTCTGATCATCTGAACTCTAGTCAGCTGTTAGCTTTGTACATTTACAAGACGTGTGTTTGATCAGTCAGCATCCCAGAGACCAGAATGGCCAAAATTACAGATATTCCTAAGAGTCACAAAGGTTCACCACCCGACTACAGCTTTTCTCCCTGTAAGCATCATATCTTCTGCACTATGATCACTGGAGCTTGACTCCAGAAGAATAAAGACAGTGGGTATCTCTCAATGTCAAGGCGCCTTGCCTTCCGAGGCGATGTCTTGCGAGGCCAGGCGCCTTGAGGACACTGTCCTTCCTTGATCAAAGAAAACGGTTAAATGGAACAGACTTGCATCACGTGACCGCGACTTGCACGGCGGTCACGTAAAGTCACGTGACACGGGAGATAACGTTATATTTTATTTGTATTAGTTTCAATATAAATATATAATGAGCCTTTTACTTTTTAAATTGTGTATATGTTTATTAAATTAAAAATATGAGTGAGTTACTACCTGCTAGCCACCGAAGCTTTAACTACTAAGCAACTAACCAACCATAGATAACTTCTTTGGATCTAAAAAAAACATTTTAAATTAGCTGACTTACTTTTAAACTTGAAAATTGTCCCCAAAGTAGCTGCCGGCTTCTGATCCGCCATCCTTTTGAAAATACTGCGGTGTATTCTGGGTAATTTTTGACCAAGGCTAGGCTACAAGACACCTCCCGTGTGTCCTCGCTCAGCTAGCTAAACGGCTAACAAACGGAGAACACGCCTCTATAGAACATAAACATTGGAACACGTCTTGTAAGTTCCTGATGACGTATCTCCTAGCCAACCGGGGCGGGGCCAAGACATCAAGGCAAGGTTCCATGGCATTGAGAAACACCCATTGACTCAGGTTAGAAGTCTTGGTGTCATAATTGATTCAGGCCTGAAACTTCACAGGTCACATTAAGGCTATAACTAGATCAGCATTTTATCATCTGCACCAAATAGCATGACTCGGAGGTCTCAAGACCAGAAAAGACCCAGAGAAACTGATTCATGCGTTCATCTACAGCAGGCTGGACCATTGCAATGGTCTTTTGACTGGTCTTCCCAAAAAAGCTGTGAAGCAACTGCTGCTAGAGTCTTAACAAGAACCAAGAGAACTGAGCACGTCACTCCTGTTCTTAGATCTCTACACTGGTTACCAGTAAACTACAGAATCCATTTCAAAGTGCTTCTACTAGTTTATAAACCACTCAATGACATGTGGCCAGAATACATGTTGGATGTGCTTCCTGTATATACACCTAGCAGCTCTAAGATCCTTAGGAAACAGTCACCTGGTAGAACCTCGGGTCAGAACCAAACATGGTGAAGCTGCTTTTTGGCTACTATGCTGCTCACAGATGGAATCAGCTTCATCCCGACCTCAAATCTTCCCCATCTCTAGAAACTTTTAAATCCTAATTGAAAACCTGTATTAATCAGCCTTTGCATGAATGTTCTGCATTGCAACTGGTCACCCTTTAACTTTGTCATTTTCTTAGAATTTTTTTAATCAAAACGCAATTGCGTGTACTTTTTGCCATGTTGATTTTTAATGTTGTTGCTATACTTGCAAGTAAAGCTGCTTAGAGCATTAAGGAAAACTTTTGGTAAAAGCGATCAGTTTGCAAAGTTGCTCTCCGTGTCAATCACACTTCACTGGAATATCAAGTACACTCACACCTATACCTAATATAGCTAACCGGTCTGTTAAGTACGGTGACCCATAAGGTTCAACAAACCAAAAATGCCATAACACAGCCCCCAGCAGAAGTAATAACAAAATAGAAACAGTAAATTGGCATGAAATGAAAGTTGTGGTCAGCTGGAATTTGTGCTTCGTCTAAATTTATGCAAATACCTTAAAGCTGAGATTTGTAGTTTAAAATTGTAAAGGTTACTTTAAAATTGCTTAAATGTGACTATCAGATCCTGTTCTATGTTTATAAAGTAGTTAATCTTTTCATTATTTATGTTTCTGCTAAGACCTTCCATTGGTCTCCACAGCTAAACGAATCATTTACGTGAAATGACTAGAAATTTGTTGATGGTCCCTAAGCGAACCACTGGAACGTATCTCTCTGGCGAAGCTCACGGCATGAAAACTCATAGTGAATTATTGAGCGTGTCGAACATCTAATTAACTTCTCTGGGGTGCTGTTTCATGACAACCTGATAACCTCCTCTACGTAAAATCCCACACTATTGACAACAGATGTCTACAGCACCATTAGACACTCAATTATAGTTTAAATGCAAATAAAAGTTGGTTTGAAGCTTTTTAAGCAACATGTTCTTCCATTTTATTTTTTTTACCTCTGTATTAGGTTGTATTTGGTGCTTTTGTATACCTTTGAACCTTGAGGGCCACCGTACTCAAGCTCTGAGTCTAGTTCTTTACTGTTTATCTTTTCCAATGAATCTCAACAATTTCTTTCATATTTAATACAATTGATCAAGATGAGTTTTAGTGTTTAATTTCAGACTATTCTAAATTTTGTGTTTTGTGGCCATTACAGCTCCAGGAGCAGAGGTCCAAATTTAAACACCTCCAGAGGATTCGGACGTCTTGAGTCTCTTAGAGGAGATGGTCAATGACTCGACACAAGTCGATTATCAGATAAAAAGTGGTTTGTAAATAAGACTAAAAGGAATTAAGATGACAGACCGCCCAGTATCCAGTCCCTGTCCAAACATCCCATCCAAGAAGGCCAAACTTACCAGTGACCTTGTTGGTCAAAACAATGAAGGTAAAACTCCATCAGCTCCAGTTTTTATCCGTAAACTTCGCAAAGCTGCAGTGGGAACAGGTTGTGATATCCGACTTATAGTGTCCGTGTCTGGACATCCTAAACCTTTGATGAGCTGGTACCACAACGATGAGCCTCTACCTGTCTCAGAGGCTCAGGACTCTGGAGGGCTGTGGATCCGGGACTGTCGCACCGCTGATGCCGGACTCTATACCTGCGTGGCGACCAACGACCTGGGAGAGGCCAGCTGCAGCGCTGTGCTGGCAGTCATGGACCTTGGAGAAGGTAACAAGTGGCTCTTTAGAAACACACCAGAGCATAGGTTGAATGTAATTTTAGATAGAGACAAATCTTGCAGGATTATTAATAATTTTAGATTTTACAAAAAATTAAGCTTAAGTTTCTTTTTTTTAGTTCTTTGTTGTACACAGTGTGATGACGGTTTGTTTTTACCTTTGCCGATATGTTTTGACGTCACTGCCATCTTCGTCATGATAACCGCCGGATGTTGGTGGCGTCACTTCCTTTTATCCGAGGGCAGCAGAGGACAATATCGCCCTCTGCTGCCCTCACCCTCTCCGCTGATCAGTGTCCCTTGAATGGTCCAGCGTGTAGACTCCTTAGTCCCTGTTCATGGTCCTGGGTCCACGCCTCCCCAGAAAAAGACGGCAGCGACGTCGAAACATGCTGGCAAAGGTAAAAACAAACTCTATCACACTGTGTACAACGAAGAACTAAAGATAATGGTATCGGAAAACAAAAACAGTACGATCATAACAAAGAATGCTTAAATTATTTATGTCATGTGGGTGAAACACTGCATTTCCATCTTACGTCTATACAGAAACTTTCTTCTGGTTAGCTTATTTGCTATTATTTTAAATGGAGCTGTAGTTTGGTTGTTTTAAAGTTTGCAAGACAAAAAAAAAATCAGGTTTAACATTGTTCCTAAATCTTAAACTACCATTTGTACGGCATCTTCAAAAAACGTTTTATGCCTAAAAAATCCTGATTAACAGCATATTAAAAAAACAAAAGTTTGTCCATTTAACAGATTGACAGCTTTTTTTTTGTTGTTTTTTTTTTTGCATTGCATCAAATAAAAATTGTTTGATTTTCTTTTCTGGTTCCTAAAAAAAAAGTTTTTGTTGCATTCTGTTTTACAAACAGGTTCTTACTTGTCCTCACTCATGGCTAACACGTGTTTTTCTGCTTTTCAAAAATTTAGCTCATCTGAAGATGGCAGATCGAGGGGAAAACACACGACTCTGTGGTGCACATCACATAGTTTTTCCCTCACAATTATTTTTCAAGCTTTAACTCCCCCCAAAAAGATGCAGCTAACTATTATTACTTGCTATTACAGCAGTATGATACAATTACAAATCAGGAAGGTCCAAACTCTGTGAGGACTATTCTGTGTTAGCATTTAGCTCTCTCTGCTGAGTGCTTTGACAATACTAGCTGACTCAAACACTCATGATAATTTTTTTTTTACTTATATTTGTGTTGTTGGTGTGTTGATATGTTTTATTTCCTGAACCAGAAATGTTTCTACAAGTCATAAAAAAAATAAAAATAAAAAATAAAACACAGAAAAAGAGGAAGAGCAGAATATGGTTGGTTTCAACCTGTGAAGAAAGCTGAACTCACAGCTGTTGGACATCACCAGCTCTTCCAGTAACACGGTTCATTTGGCATGTGACTCAACACGGGCCATTCAGTTATTTAACTTTGATCTAGTGAAACATATTTTAGTCCGTGTGTCTTACTAAGGTATGAATTTACAACAAAAGTTAAATTATTACAGTTTTTCCTCAAATGCTACAACACATTTCACAAACGTGTCCTCCATTTTCACCAATGTCTAAACACGACACCCTTAGCTAAAGCTACATAAACACAACCATACCTTCTCACAAAACTCAAACTTTCACACCAAAAAGCAGCGCGAAGCTTCCAAAAATGTAGACTACACACATCAATACACACCACAGCAAAACTATTGAAAACACAACGCTCAATTTGTGAGAAGGTTCTTCGTTTCATAATTGCCAATGCATTTTACTGTACTAGAAACTTTACAGCAACAGATCTTCATAGTCTCTGCAGAGTGATAGGTATTTAGATTTATGAGTTTCATATGAAAAGTGAGTGTAATCTATAGAAAATTCTGTAACACAACTATTGCACACAACAGTACTCCTGAAAACATGATCAGGGTGTTAAGTTTTTATATTAACTATTCACACCACACACCACCATCACTGAGCGGCATCATGTCGCTGAGCTGCATCGGGCCACATCACCTCATCCACATTGCAACCTATTTTGTGTCTTGCCCGGCACCATGGGAAAAACACCCTGGAATGGCGAATCCATCCATGGAAGGCCTCCACTGGGATGTCAACACAGGCCAGCTCCATTGCCCTTGGGAGGTTCTCTCTAGAGTATGGTTGTCTGTCATAAACCTTCCATCTCCACAATGAGAACTCCTCTTTATGGTGTAGGAAAGGGGAGTACGGTGGCAGACAGATTTGAAAAGTGGTTACTGTTGTTGGTGGTGAACCACTCTGATTGGGTTTGTTCTATGGAAGCAGACACTGTCTTAAATGATCACATAAATGTGATGTGCAGGCCCAGGATGGTGTTGTTGGCGGTCCAGGAGGATGTCTTTTAGCTCCTCTAGGAAGGTGAAGAGATGTTGGGTGTTGTAAGACCCAAGGACAGCATGCCAGTGGACAAGCCCCTCCGAATCCATGCCCCCCCCCCCCCCCCCCCCATTGGGCTGGAACCTCAGTGATGGGTCTTTGGCCAATGATGTTACGGCCTCTTTGCCTTCATTTCCACAGGTTGAAGTCAGCCTCATCCAGGAAGAGCTACTCATGAGGTCTGGCCATTGCGTCCAACTGTAAAATCCTCTGTGAAAATGTGAAAGTGCACAGGTGTTCAGAACAACAGTCTATCAGGAAGCACAGTATTGTCCAGAAGTAAGGTAGGCCACTGAGCAACACAGTATGTCCACTAACTGCACTGTCAACACTGATGTATACTTGATGCCGAAGAACTCGGTCTATTGTGGCCAAGCTGACATCGTCAACACTCTCAAAGTTGACATTATCGGCAATGACTTTGTCTCTGATCTCCCGGAGTCTGATGAGGTTGTCCTCACGAACCATATCCACAATGAGGGTTTCTTGTGCCGCTGTAAAAATGGCAACCCTCCCCCCTCTATGTGGCACTCTTTCAACTCTAAAGAAAGAAACGTGTTGTCAAGTGGCATGTTTTACAATAACTACTGATTTGAAACCAGTGCACTACTTTCACAGGCTTGTAAAACTGTATTGTGACAAAGAAAGCAATAGAGTACAATACTTGTTGTGTTGTCTGAATGCCCTGGTAATGGTGGCCACGGTAAACCTACTCAGGTTTGGATGGACTCAGTCCTGCTTCAGCCATTGTCAGGCCATGGACCGTGCCATGGACAACGATTGTTGCTCGCATGTTGTCCGTAATGATGGTGCAAAGTTGTCTTGCTCTCCTTCCTGGACCTTCTCCTCTCCCTCGTTGGCCTGCTCCTCTTCTTCCACGGCCAGCTCTTCTCCCTCCTCTGACTCGAATTCCTCACATATATATATATATATATATATATATATATATATATATATATATATATATATATATATATATATATATATATATGTATCACCTTCAATTAAAGTGGCAGTGTGTAATTTCCTGGCACTAGGGGGCAGTACGTGAATTTCAGGGTAGTTTTACACCATATCACTGTGACTGTCGCTAGTTTAAAAACACATTACGTTAAATGTTGCCTGTGGAGCAGAAAGCTGCGACCCTCGGCATTATTCCTCAGACTTTGATGGTCCTTCAGTTAATTCCATCGAGAGAAGGCAATGCTGATTGTAATCTTCTGGCATTGTAGTTTGTGGATCTGCTCAGCGTTTTGAACCTGCCAATGACATCATCACACTACGGCCATACCGCTCGGCCAGAATACATTGCATCTCTTTTTTGATTCTGTTCTTTAACGTATGTTTTGGACAGAGTTTATTAAATTTGTTACTATTTCTTACTACCTAAATGTTTTCAAACGTGGTAACATAACTTCCATAAGTTGTACGTCCAGCGAATCATCTAGTGTGACGTCATCGACAGGTGCAGGACCCCGAACCGGCCAGAAGGAAACAAGACTTCTAAGGCCAGGGACACACCGGCCGCCGAAGCGCCGGGAGGGGAAGCACTCACGAAATTCGGCCGCTGCTCGCTGCTCCTCACTTCAGGCCAGACACTTGTTTCTCCGCTCCGGTCGAGACGCGCCTCGTAGTTTTTCTTTTGCCCACTTGGTGGCTTCCATTTCCTCTCTGCCTTTTCTCTGCTCTTTTCCTCTACACCCCCCTCCCCCTTGCTGTTTGTGTGTGTGTTTGTATGTGTGTGTGTGAACCTATGGTGTGAACCAGTTGTTAATAGCTGGCCTACGACTTTCTGCCTCTGTCCTGTTTGCTCCGGTTGAAAGACACCCAAAACCACACCCCCTTCACGTGGTCACACACACACAAGTTTGCTGTGTGTGTGTGTTTGTGTGGTTTTTATGCAGTGTCTGTTTATGAACACATTTGACTATCGCGGAATTGTATTTTGAAATGCTTTATTTTGTTAAATTTACCGGCCTGCCTCTGATGACTTTGACTTCCTGCCAGAATTGACGCGGTTCACCTGCGGCTCGCGAAAAAAATAGAGCAGACGCCGAAACGATCGCTGCACAGCCCGGGCTGGGGCGCCGTTGCGCGGCTCTTCGGCGGCTCATGTGGTCTATAGAATAGGCTAAAAAGGGCGCAGAATGAAGGCGGCCCCCGTTTCACGGCGCTTTGCGGCACTTCGGCGGGGCTTTGGCGGCCGGTGTGTCCCCGGCGTAATACGGCGTCCCCCAAAGACGCTAGACCCGCGCCCTATGTACTTTAGTACCGATTTTTATGGTAATATGTTACAAAGCCGGCACTATTTCTCAACAACCAGGCATGATTTTATTCATTTTCAACAAGATTTCGATGGATTTTTCCACAGATTAATAGTAAAAATACACATTGTCTGTTTAAAGTTTCCTGATAACATTATTTTTGTTGTATTATCATTTTTGTTGACTCAAATGAAAAATGCAACAAAAAAATTATGTTTTGCTTTATTACATGATGAACAATTTGGATCGATACTTTATTTAATTTGTATTTTAGTTTTATGATCAGGTTTAAGTTCAGCTAAATAAGTAA